TTTTTTTAAATAGAAATTATCTAATGGTAATTGTGCTAACTTCACTTTCAAAACAAAAAAATGAAACAATTCATTAAATTATTTTTCAACAATTTTTGGAATAACATATGCGCTCATTCTCAAACTTGTGAAATAATATCCCATTCTATATATAGATGGCACTGTCTATACGAAGTTCGGCAAACAAAGCATTACGCTTATTGAGCGCATTACACCTCTTATAAAATGGCATTCGCATATATGTAGTAAAATGCCCCTAGGCAAAAACATGTGGAAAAGATGCGTAACAAGACGTGAATGTAAACAAAATCCACATATAACAAATTTGTTTTGATGAAATGACCAACAAACATGTTGTTTATGTGTTTATTTGACATGAAAACTGAGTTTAACTTCCATTTTGAACGCGGCTGTTTTGCATGGCATGATTTTCGTTTTCCATATGTTCATCATAAACAATTTTGCCAATCCTATATTTAGATGTTTTCTGAAAAGTGAATTGACAATATGAGTCATATCATGTTTCGAAACAAGTGAAAGAAGTAGTAACAAAAAAATGCGGATTAACGATGTTTTTCTACGAGTATTCAATGAATTCTTCCTTGCAAGCATGCTGTTTCAAAATGCTTTCAATTCAACTTTATTAATGAGTTATACTACTTTTTCATATTTGTTGCAGAAAATTACACTTGATAGTGACATCGTTTTCGAAGAAGGCCCATTGGAATCAGAAGGTCTAAATTCTCATCATAAACGCAGCATTGATGAATTTGATGGAGATGAAGATTGGCTTTGGTCTAATGTAAATCGAATCAAACGATCGATAGGTAAAGCATTGGGAAATGAAGAAAATGAAACCCCATTAAAAAATCGAGCGAAGCGTGGTTTTTTTGATTGGTGGGATTCAGGATCGTCAAGTGATGGAAAAGAAAGCACCACAACTACGGAAAGCACTGGTAAGTTAAATGATCGAGTACTATCTGTCAAAATATTTCCCCCTATGCCAAGCGAAATTAATTCGATATAATACGGCGCTGATGTAAATGTCACTCTGTCATTTCACAATAATACTTTTTTGGCTTGACAATATATAAGCTCTTCATTTAAAATGCATACACATTCATAATTATTGAATCGTTGAAAAAAAAACATGTCATAAAATATTTTTCTAACATTTTTCATTAAAAAATTTATTAAAAAATTTTTTTTATAAAAAAATTAATTTGTTTATAAATTACAATAATTTCAACAAAAAATGTTTCATCGATTAAATAAGAATCCAATGTAAATAGTAATGACAATGCGACACCTACCGTAAAAATGCAAAAAGAAACTTAGTTGGTATCCATTGTAGCATTTTTGTCCGCCATGACAGCATCTTCGTTTTACTTGACCAATCACAGAGAAGCAAAACGAAGATGCTGTTATGGCGGACCAAAATGTTACAATTCCAAATAAGTTTCCTTTTCTATTTTAACGGTAGGTGTCGCATTGGTATTACTTTTTACATTAGATTCTTGTTCAATCTATGAAAAAAAATTGAAATTATTGTTATTTTTAAACAAATAAATTTAAAATATAGAGAATTTTTATGATAAACGTAAGAAGAATATTTCATGATATGTTTCTTTTTTTTACTCGACCGTTCAAAAATTATGCATGTTGAATGAAGAGCTTATATATTGTCAAGCCAAAAAATGTATCATTGTGGAATGACATAGAGTGACATTTAAATCAGCGCCGTATATCGGATTTATTTCGCTTAGCAAAGGGGGAAACGTCGTACTCGCTCCTTTGTTCAATACAAAAAAAATATACAGATTAAACTCACATAAAATCATCTTATTTAGACCATCATGAACAAGGCGATGATAGTTCAAATATAGAAGAAGATGAAGATTCAACAACTGACGATGAAAATGATACTTATGATGGTTCTGGCTACACTAAAATTGAACAAACTCACACTGAAACAATATTATTGGAGCAATTTTGTAAGTTTATGACAAAAGTGAAAGTATTATGGTATTTAGTAATTGAATAAATATTTAAAAAAAACGTTCATTTTTTAGTCCGATTAAAATTCAAAGTGAGTCAGATTTGGAGTCCAGACTATGAAGCATCAAATACACAAGCATATAAAACAAAGGCTAAGGAAATTGAAAAAAAATTGGAACATCTTTATGAATTAAGGAAACCAGTTAAGAGTAGAAATCATATTCGTACACATGTAATCCGTATTCTGTGAGTGAAAATTAAATTTTGTTTGTATCTCGACTTAATTCGAGGCGTCCCCATCATTTTTAATTCATTGACTTGCTTGAGTTGAACTTCTTGATAACTAATGGAGATGGTTTTCATTTATTATTGAGTGAATTTTTTTTTTTTGGTTTTCATAGTCGTCCATCACGAAAGGAAATATTCAAAATTGGGGTAACGGTCGAAATCATTTCCGACGAGCCAATAGCATTAAATGAGCTCGAACAAATTATTGGACCTGCTTTGGATTCACGAAAAATTGAAGATTTATCTGTTGAGCGTGATAGTTATTATGAGTTAACCGCTATTGGAGGTAATTTCTATTCATTTTCAATATAATGTCATGATTCATTTCAACTTCAAAGAATAAAGAAAAAAAAAAGTGTTGTATTTGGCATTATATACGTCTATATTTGAAATGGACATCATTGTTTTTTTTTACTGTACATATGTAATGATATTGAATATATTTACCTATTTTGTATTGCTTTTGATATGTGTTTGGCTTGCTTAACCGCACAATCAATAAACGGCTCTAATCAAATCAATGTGAATCAAGTTTAGTTAAGCCATCAAATCACAAACTGAAAAGAACAATTCGTTCAATCAATGAAACAACTACGGAAAAATTGGCTTCAACGACTCTATACCCAAAAGATGATAATACTGATTACAATGACAATATATTTGACGATAAAGATTTATTTCCGGACAATGATGAACTGTTCAGTTTCATTTGTGATGATGTTGAATTTGAGTGTAAAAGTGATCATAAATGCATTCCATTGGATAGTTGGTGTGATGGTATTGCTAATTGTGATGATAAAAGCGATGAGCTGTCCTGTGCTACCACACCAGCAATTCATTTCTCCATCATCAATGAAACAACGACCGAATTGTCGACAAGCACCGAAACATCGACACTCGTTTCGCCTGTTGATACAACTGAGCAACAAGAGACAAATGCAACAAAAGAAACTACATTGAGGCCACCTATTAGCAGAGAAAGTAATTTGAATATAACAACAATTACGATGAAAGTTAGCACGGAAAATTCTGAAACGACAACTACTGTGAAGGTATTATCTATGGAGATTTCTGTTACTATTATTCACCTAAGGATCCTTCCTTCATCCAGAAAATGCGAATATTTCCAAACGATAGTTCGTTTCACATTTGACAGGAGAACGAATTAAGTGAAATATTTTGAAGGATATATTGAAAATCATGGCATTTCTAAAACGAAAAGGCATGAAATCGCCTCGATGATGCACCAAGATATTCTGCCCTTTCGTTTTGAAACCAACCAAATATTTTCATCAAATTCTAGAATTTTATATGAATACTTCTAAATAGACGACTGTCAAACCTGAAGTTGATAGCAGCACTTCCAATAGTAGCAACGTTGAAAGCACGACTTCGAAATCAATTGAAACATCGACAACGAATTTACCATCCACAACAAACTCTAGCACAACACAATCAAATGAAGTTGACACAACGACAACTAGCAAACCACTCATAACGAAGGCGACAATGAAAACAGAGTCAACTACAGTTGCATATTCTTCGAGCGTAAATAATAATAAAAATATGACAACTACAAAAAAGCCAATTTTAACAACCGCGAAGGTACTTTATTGGAATTATGAATGGGACGATTTTTGTCTTCGTGAACTAGTAAAAAACACGAATCATTCATATATTCAAGCATTATATTTCATAGTGTGTGTGTATGTTTATAAGTCAGATTGATACATATTTTGTGTTTGATATTTTGAAAATTTGATAAAAAGATTTTTTCGCCAAATTTTTCTTATGAAATGTAAAACCACTATAAACACAAAAGTTTGGTTCGGTCGATTTCTAAATTTCACACTTTTTTAAAATAGACCACTGTCAAATCGAAAATTACTACCACAACTGTAAAAAGTACAACGAAAAAATCAAAAACAACGAAAAAGCCAAACACAACGACTACAACGAAAAAAAGCATAGCAACAATAACTCCACAAAGTCATTCATCATCAACTGCCAAGCCGACACAGAATCAACAGAAAACATCATCTAAAGCTACGACTAAAGTTATGAGTACAACAAAAAAGCCAGAAAAGCTTCAAACAACTAAAACAAAGACCATTTCAACAAGTACCAAAAAAACAACAGAAAAGCCTCAAACAACTCCAAAAACCATTTCAACAAGTACCAAGAAACCGGAAATGACAACTCAAACAAAGAAACCTGTACAACAAACGACAAAAATGTCTAGTTCAACAACAACTACAACATCTACAACAAGGTCGCCATTAAAAATGCCACCAAAAATACAGAAGACTACAATACAAAAAGTTATGGAATACAAGAACAAAACTCAAATCAAAGGCTCATCGGATGGCATGATAACCGGCAGCCAAAATGCTAAAGGTGAACCAATTTTCGGTCGAGATTTTATTCAAATATTCAAATTACTCCTGGGATACATACATGCCGTGGTGGTGATCGCTTTTACACTAATATAAATATATTCACACGAGACACATTTATAACAGTGGTGTAACGGCTGTTAATATTCTAATAAACACGATTTACATGACTCGATAATCTTTTACTGTTACATATTATACACATACATATACACTTAAACACGCTTATTGTTATTTACAATTGAATCGTTGCGGCGAAACAGTAGCTCTTATTTTTCTCCAGATAATACTGCAACATGAAGTTTTTTTCACACGGTTTATTTGTTGTAATACAACAAATAAACTATTCATAAAAAACTTTATGTTGCAGTATTATTTGGAGAAAAATAAGAGCTACTCTTTCGCCGCAACGATTCAATTAATGGTTAATGTTAACGTTATTTTTTTTCATATCATTTTACTGAAATAACCAATTTGGAATTTTTGATTTGCCTGAATTCAAATTTATATTCAATCATATTTTTTTATCCATTATTTTCTTTGATTTAACTCTATATTTTTATGTTGTTTGACGAAAATATTACCAAAAATGGTTTAGAATCGGATTTAAAGCGTGACAATGAGATCGAATTGGTTACTGGTACCGCCGAATCTGATGGAAATGTTAGTTATGAAGATGATGGTGAAAGAGGTGAAAAAGACAGCAGAAATAGAAATAAAGATGAAGCTGAAAATGAAGCATTAGATTATAATGAGAGTACTGATAATAACAATGATATTGATACCGATATCCCTTCGTCATCATCAAGTCCCTATCCACTAAATCAATGTCGTGCCGACGATGTGGTCGAATGCCCAAATAATCCACATTTCAAAATCTGCGAAGTACATTTTTGTGGTAAATATTTCTGGTTTTTTTTTTCTGGAATTAAATGCGCAAATGTTTGGAAAATACACGCGCATTAAAACAATGCAACGAAAAATAAAATATGTGAAGAGTTCACATTGCAAGATGGGAGTTTTTCAAAATGTTGTCGTTGTTTTTGGTTTTTTTTGTTCCATGAAAAATGTAATTAATGCACAATTTAATTTTTTTCAAGATGGCGTACCCCAATGCCCAGAAGGTGAAGACGAAGATCCAGAACGGTGTAGGTCGGGTGAGAAAATCAAATAAACAATTTTAAAAACGAATGTTACGACAAAAAATACCAAAATTTCAGTATTTTTTCATCCAAAATATACTCAAACGTTATGCAATTTCTCGATATTTTTGGTGTAATTAAATAAATAATAATCAATATGGTAATCGAGCTTTTATTGGTCTTTTCAGAATGCAATGATGATGAGTTTGCATGCGATAGTTCAAGATGTATCCTGAAATCCCAATTGTGCAACGGTGAATACATCATTTGTTACTCTCTCACACACATATTGATGTATAATGAAAAATTGTATCTTTTGCTTGAAAACAGGTGTGCATGATTGTAGTGATTTAACCGATGAGCAGAATTGTCCTTCAAAAACGCAAAATCAACACAGAGGTAAGTTTCCACGTATCACAATATAATTGAAAATATTTACTGAGTTTGACCCAAATAATAAAAACTGGGCCGGTATTCTAGAACAATCCATAAAAATCGTTCGGAATCATTTGTTTATATAAACAACTCAGCTGAGGGAAAACAATAAAAATTATTGTTATAATTATATCAACAATCACATTACTACAATCACTATAACAACCACTTCTATTGTTTTCAGTCCGATTCAGCGCCTGACTGTAGCTAGTATTTTGAGTGTGTAACATTTTTTTTTATATTTCCAATGTTTGGCGACAAATGTAGAGCTCTATTAAAGTTATATTTTGGTACTTTTGGTGTACATATTTGACGCCAAACGTTGAAAAGACAAAAAAATATTAGTTTCAAATGAATAGTCCGCTCAATATATTGTCGGAATAATTCCACTGTTGAAAGAGGTGTCGGAATAATTCCGAACAAAATAAGTGGAATATTGTTTATTTTTTTTGTCTTATGAATAACGACTATTATTCTCGTTATGTGCTACAATATTATTCAAAACAATATTCATTCATAGAAATATGTTTTTCGGAATAATTCCGAACAAATTGATCGGAAAGTGGCATTAGAATACCGGCCCCGGTTTAGCGGAAGCAACAAACGTTAAAATAGAATGGAATACAATTTATAGTCACCAAATTTATCGACATTCTGTATGTCTTATCCACAGTGAAAATGATTTATCTATATTTTCTTTAGTTTTCCATTTCAAAATATCATGCTGTGCGGTACACATTCAATTTTGTACTAACATCTGTATAGAAAGTCTTTGGAATAAATTCAGCAGTTTATTGTGCTACATAAACAAAAAATGTCAACCAATTCACATAGGAGACTTAACGGGTCTCCTAGTCTACTGCAGAAAAATTTCCAACCGCGATGGCGTACAAATTGGATTTACGAAAAAGTGTCTCAAATGATTTTGGACAGCTAAGTTCAAAACAAATTCTGCATGTGTCTAAAGATGAACCAATCTGTCTCCGAACTATGTATCTTGTTTCATGGACTTAGTATGAAGATGAAGATTCTAGAAAAAGCAAAAATTATGGTCGTATTCCCAATATAAATGCTCAAACCCTTCAAAATTGTCATCAAGTACCGAAAACCGGGTTGGTCAAGAAAAAAATAATTTTTGGTGATTTTTATGGTTACAGTACATCCAAATTTGAACCAAAACGAAGCCCGATCATGGTATAGGATTTCCTGTATAAAACTTGTAACTAAAAACACCTCTAATGCGTATTCCGAGTACTAATCGAAGTTTGTGACAATATGGCCGTCACAGTTTGGCAAAATCATAATGAATCGATTAAACTGCGTTAAACTGTTAAAATAAAACAGTAGAAATAAATAGATTTTAATTTTTTACATTTTTGAAAATAAAAAATCTTTTGTTTTTTTAATTTTGTGAGATTTTCTGTCCACAATATTCAAAAATATTAAATTAATAAAAATGAATTCGTTGACATAACCTCACTTTTGTGTCACGATCGTGATGAATCGATCAAATAATTATTAAAACGAAAGTGAGGTTATGTCAACCACTTCATTTTTTATTAATTTAATATTTTTGAATATTGTGCAGTAAATCTCACGAAACTACCGGAAACTACAAAACAAAACAAAGAATTTTTATTTTTAAAAATGTAAAAAATGAAAATATTTTTATTTCTACTGTTTTAATAATTATTTAATCGGTTTATCACGATTGTGACACAAAAGTGAGGTTATGTCAACCAATTCATTTTTGTTGATTTAATATTTTTGAATATTGTGGACAGAAAATCTCACAAAATTAAAAAAACAAAAGATTTTTTATTTTCAAAAATGTAAAAAATTTAAATCTATTTATTTGTACTGTTTTAATTTAACAGTTTAACGAAGTTTAATCGATTCATTATGATTTTGCCAAACTGTGACGGCCATATTGTCACAAACTTCGATTAGTACTCGGAATACGCATTAGAGGTGTTGTTAGTTACGGGCATGATCAGGCTTCGAACCAAAACAATAGATTTAGACACGATCATTAGGAATCAGCAAAATAAATTACGCAAAACTTCTAAAGGGTGTCAAAAATTGGGTGCTTACTTCACCCTATAGCATGTTGCACTGAAAGATTCATCATTTTGGATAGTGAAACATTCATAGCCAAATCGAACCATGAATCAAATGCAAGTGGTTTCTTTTGCATTGATTATGTTAGGGAACTACTATATAAGGTTAGAGACGTCGTTAAACCGAACTTTGATAAAAGGGTGTTTGTATGGTAGGATCTTCTTTGAAAGGTGTCTTGGAGCCATTATTCGAAAAATAAGTACTTTAACGTAAGGTAAAACCTCCATTACATGCTCCATTATCAACCAAATATTGTTTCTTTGCAAGCATAAAAAACCACAATAAGAGCTCACTTCTTAAAAAATAGCATTTCCATGAAAAAAGGACCATCTTTTTAACTTCAGAAAAAGGCACCAAATTAATTCTTTCTTGTATGTTTTTGGATGTATGTTATAGGCGAAGGTCCAAAATACTTGAAACGTGCAACAATTGGTTGGATGGATTGAGAGAAAGTTGAAAGAAATCGACAAATCGGTTGTCCAGAACATAATTTCGATGGTTCGACGCATTCTGAGAAAAATCGAAGACAATGGTCCGTTCAGTGTAAAGTGAATATGCTATTCGATAGTCTATGAATAAAGGTTTATACCAATAAAAACGAATTTAATATTGTATGCTTGTTGTTCAAATGGCGAACGTCTGAATTTATTCCAAAGACTTTCTATACAGATGTTAGAGAAAACACGACCAAAAAACAGCATGAAAATCGCCCGTTTTTCACTTCTCTGTTATATTTATCCTTGAAGAGGTAGAAAAAAGTCTGATATATTACTGAATTGTGTTTGGAAATGTAGAGATTTTCATTACGAATCAGAAAGTTCTTTAAGAAATGTGCTGATTTCCAACCAAAGAAAAGATATTTAGCTGTTAAATAATGCATTGGGCTCACAATTTTTATGTGGTTTTCAACATTGAAAAACCGTTCAAATAGTTGGTAGTACGAGGGTCACTATTTAAGTTTTTTCAAAAACATATATAAGACAATGGGGTTTCATCGAAAATGGTTTTATTGTTTTTCAAAATATTCGCCATGATGATCAATACACTTTTGCATTCGCTCGAACCATTTGTCATAGCATTCATGCCACTCCGAAAGTGATATCTCCAAAACGTGTGTTTTGAACGCATCAACTGCTTCTTCGGGCGATGAAAATCGTTGACCACGCAGTTTATTCTTCACGCTCGGGAATAAAAAGAAATCGTTGGGTGCCAAATCAGGACTGTACGGCGGATGACCCATTAAATCGATCTTTTGACCGGTCAAATAATCGACTGTTTGATGAGATGTGTGAGAGCTCGCATTATCATGATGAAGAATTATTTTGCGACGGCGGTTGTTTTTTCTTATTTCACCAAACACTTCGGGCAAACAAATGGTGGTGTACCAATCAGAATTGATGGTCTTACGAGCCTCTAGTGGAACTGTTGCCACATGACCACTTATCGCGAAAAAACAGGCGACCATTTGCTTCGCAACACTTCGAGCTCGAACAACTTTTGTTGGGTTATCTTCACTTTGAAAGACCCATACAGTCGACTGCTGTTTAGTTTCGGGCTCATACGCGTAGATCCATGATTCGCCACCAGTGACGATAAAATACACGGATTTTGAAACACCACGATTGAATTTCTTGAGCATTTGTTTACACCAATCGACACGAGCCTTTTTTTGAGCGATTGTCAAATTATGTGGTATCCAACGAGAGCAAATCTTTCTGACAGCTAAATGTTCATGTAAAATCTTAAATACGCTGGTCGCACTAATGCCCAGGGATGCCTCAATCTCGTGATATGTTACATGACGATCTTCCATTATCATATTTCTGACAGCATCGATGTTTTCTGGTACAACAACTGATTTTGGACGACCTTCGCGGAACTCGTCGATGAGCGATAGGCGACCGCGCTTGAATTCGTTGTACCAATTATAAATTGTCCGAAGACTTGGTACTTCATCGCCAAAGGCCAAATGAAGTTGATCAAAACACTGTTGTTGTGATACACCCAATCGAAAGTGGAAAAAAATAATCGCTCGAAAATTTTCACGAGTAAAATTCATTTTTTGGCTGAGACGCAATTTACATGTTACGGTAAACAATACAAATAACGATCGAATGACAAAACGTTCTGAGAACGTTTATGCTACAAAATGTTAAACTTAACGAATATGACAATGGTTTGCATCGGGCAATACTAAAACATACATATTGAAGAAACTTAAATAGTCGCCTACGTATTTAAATCATCTAACTCATGAATAAATAATGACCTTTTATGCAATATATTCGATGCTTTTAGTATTTTGACTTCCTTACACACATTAATATTCTGTGTCATATTGTGAAAAGTAATTGTTTTATAAGCAAGTGCTTGTTGTGTTAGTTCTAATGATTGGATTTTTAACTTCATTATTGTAATGTCACTCTGTATGTTTGTGTGTCTATGTGCTCAAAAATGAACAAATGCTTCTGTGATGTGGAAAGTTTGTTTTAAAAAATTTCACACTGCGTAAGCATAAGCAAAACATCCACCGAAAAATGTGTTTTTCTGCGCGATAGAACTCAACTAAGGAATGAAATTTCAAATGATTTAGTAACTGGAACGACAAATAGCCGAGAGACTACTAATTGAGCATCTTGGTCACGCTACTATATCAAAGTTCCTCATTCGGCTTACATTTAATGGGTGCCATTGTGTCATTTACTAGCTGATAGGTTTTTATTCACGGGGGTTCTTAATAATAATAAAATATGTAGTACACTGTACTGTTTCGAGTTCTATGATTAGTCGAAACAAAGTCCACCTAAAATAAATACTTTTTTCCCATCAAAGTAGCAACTTGT